AAGATATTAAAAAAGTTTAAAATTTCATCAAAGATTACAAAAATGTTACGTGACGTAAACGTAATGTGTAAAACGTACTATTAGCATCTGCTGTGCATTTCACAAGTTTTGCCTTTTCACCTTGTAATTTCCCAAAGTACACAACCATTAAAGCAGTAATACCGTGTTACAACCTACAAAATACAATCAATATCCATGAAGTATTAACGGACTAATAAAACGGGTGGCCAATGGGACGGAAAAACTTCGGGCTTTAAATAACTAAAGCAAATAACCAAAAGGCTACCGTGAATGTTTCATTTAAGATCGCTTCTTGCCTGCTAAAGGAAGGTCTTTTAATACTGGTCGAAATGTCAGTATTGACGTTGGCTTGCTAGAAATGAATAAAGCAATATATCAAACAAACATCTGAACTCTCATATTGTGACGTAATTGTCGATCAGTATTTCGTTTTTTAGTTCATTATTATTGTGACTGCAAAAGTGGTGCGGGCGTATCACGACAGCGGCGCTGCAACTGCGCATCTAAGTATTTAATGAAAATTAATAATGTCGCCACTGCAGTTCTTCTATAAGCATCTAATTTGAAGGTGCCCTTAGACAGATGTATAATTTGGGTTATTTTATCAAGCTCCATCATTAATGTATAATCATTCATCATCATTCTATCATTATATATAATATATATTTCAAAGACTTGTATAATATAGATTCCAAACATTAAACGGAAAGTTTTATTGAAATAGTAACATTATCGTGTTATTTCTAAATTTCATTTGTCCTCAAATCTCACCATGATGTAATTTGTTATTTGAACAAAAATGTTTACGATTACTGTTTTTTATGTTTACGTTTCGTCTAATTCTAAAAATACGAAGTAGATTAAGTCAATATTAGTGCCGGTTGTAAGGGCGCCTTTAAATTGGACGCTTGTAGAAGCGCTGCCGTGGCGCAACTCATTTATTTACTTGTTTATATACTTTATTTTATATTATAACATTGTAGTTCTAGAATAACTGGCAATCTGACTAAAAAATCCCCGCCATTTGCAAAATCCGTAAATGGTGTGTTGTGAAACGATATTTATCCATACAAGAAATAAATTATCGTCATATCTACTTCCTCGCAAATGTCATAAAAACATTATATGTAGCACGGGTGGTAAAAATTACAAATTCGAGTCATTAAAGCACATTCAAACACACGCTCGTTTATAATATCCTATTTACCGCCCTTAATTATAAATAACTCCCGGACAAATAATTCGAGCCTCCTTGCACTTTCAATATTAAATGCCCTTGGTCTATTAACATCATGTCCATAAGCCCTTGTCGAAAATTTGAAATAGTAAAACTTTTTCATCGTTAATAACAATATTTTCGTATACTAGCGCTTTATGAAAAAGGTCATGATCGAAATATGTGTCTGGGGGTGCACTTCAAATGGATTTAATTTTATTAATAAAATAAACAGATCGAATCTTTTACTCTTTATTTCACTGTGATAGTAAATAGACGTAAGAATGTAAAACAATTGTACAGTATATTTTAATTACACTTTTATATAATTTTACATAATTATGAGCGTTATTAGTATATAGTGTCCTGTATAGATATGTACAAATTCAATAGTTAAGACTATTATAAAAATTAATACGCACTTTCTAGTAATGTAAAAGCTACATCTAATTTTTTAAATACGATTTTCGTGATAGTGAAGTATTACTATGGAAAATACTTTCTATAATATCTCGATTTACTCAAAAACGTTCTTTCAGTACTTAAACACCAGCTTTTCAAATATAGTGAATTCTATGTATAAATTTAATTATTACTTTTTATTATTTTTACAAACTCTTTAAGTAACCGTTACGTAATATATTTATGTGAAATGTAATGAAAAACAACACAATGTTAAATACTGGGCACAAAATATTACCATTGAACGCAAAAAAATAACCATAAATCATCAACACTCAGCACCTAGCTTCCTTGTTGCTAACTTTGTTAGAACTCTCCGAGAGGCAATAGGGTACACGACAAGTACAGAAAATAAAATATATCTCACTAGCTTCAAAAAAATACGAAATATAATTCGTTGCAAACTGAAATGGAAATAATTGTTTATGACATCACAAATGTAATTATGTTATTCAGCATGCACATTTACTAATGGTCTTTTGCTGAAATGGGACGAGCCCCACCTCTGACACATAATTAATACATCTAAAAACTAATTTTGGAATATTTATTGAATATAACATGATGTACGCACAAACACAAAGACAAATTCCGGGGTCGAACCTCCGGTTTGGCAAAGTCCTTGTTCGATTCCAGCCGAAACGAAGGAATTTTTCTTTGTAATTTGTTAGATTTTTGTACCAAAAATAATTTCGAAATAATTTTTGGCATATTCATGCGATTCGATTGATGCAATAAAAATATATACTATTAACGTAGATACCCTATTACCTCACCACACCATTATTATACCTTACACCAATCTGATACAATCGAATAGTGACATAATAAATCAACCAGAAATACAACAAACTGCTCTAGTGTTGATATAACAAAACACTCATGAAACAAAATGCTCATGAAATATTGGCACAAGACAATGTTAACGTACTGAAGAAAAGAAGAAAGACTGGTTTTGTATACTCTACATTAATAATTAATATTTCTGAAAATTGTCTTGTCATAATAATTATCAAATATTTCAAAGCTGTTCAAGTAAATTCTGTAGCTATATACATTTTTGATAAGCTTGTATTTAGACAAAGCTTGAATTGAGAAATTTCCAAAATAAGAGTTCACGATTTTTCTGATATGAATACAGAGAAATATAATAAAAAAAATAAAAAAAAAATTAAAAACAGCATGATTGAAATATTTACCTTCATATGCCATTGTCGAGAATTTCCATTTTTAATTTGTATAAAGACTTACCTAAGGAATAGTGCGACACTCAATTTACCTAAATTTTATGAATTGAGGAATAAATACATCTATTAATAGTGGAGGGAATAACAATATACTACGATTTTATATAGGATTAGTTAATTTTTAAAAATATGTATATTCACTTTGAATAATTGAAATAGTTACAGTGTAAGGCCTACATTTAAGAATACGATAACCAAAGTTAGTATCATAGGCCTAACTGTATAACTTGACAGCAGATCTGAAATTCAAATATGAGGTTTTTAAATGACTATCACTAATAACAGGTTTCTTACCACGGTATGACTTCTTTTTATTTTCCCGGTATTTCGGAACGGTTGCACGCTCCATCGAGTTGCATAGCCCCCAGGTGCTCTCGACAGAACGTCACTACATACCACGGTTGGTACGAGAAGCCATCGAGATCACGAAGTACAAAACATTTAACCGTGATGATGGTTTTAAACTGTTCAGTGCATGGAATCCGGTCCTTAGTGCGTGTAGTAATAAAAACAAAAACACCTCGAGTTCAGTTTCGCGTGTAGATACAGTGAGTGCGGTTAGTGTGAAAAAAATGAGTGACAATGGTAACGCCATAACAAATCGCGATGAAAGTAATCGTCGACAGCGCAAGAGGGTAGACAGATATGTCTACTCTTAAAGCTGTCATCTGCCGCCTTCCAGTCAACCCGTGACCATGGAGCGTGCAACCGTTCCGAACTATCGGAAAAATAAAAAGATGTCATACCGTTGTAAGAAACCTGATATTAGTGATAATCATTTAGTGAATAACCACGAAAGTCTTAAAATCTATATATGACATTTTTATATATTTTTGAAACACATTATCTGGGTTCAAATTTCAGAATGGGTTACGCAAACATATACGACTTCACTTTATTTTAAGCTTCAGAGCGGCTTGTTAAAAGTTTAGTATGTTTGAAGTGTTTCGGTAGAAGAGATAAAAGCTTCAATCTTCTCCTGTTCTTCATTAACTCTATAAACGTAATATCGGACACCGAGAATGATAACGTCACTGTGATAATTTTTTTTATTTTTCAATTTTCAACGTCACCTCGGATTTGAGAGCACGAACTTTATAATGCAAAAACCTCCGTGTACGTTGTTTGCCTAGAATTTGCGATATGACGTAATGACGTTATACAAGGGGAACGGGGCATAGGAAACAGCGCGATACTGACATTTTTTGGTAATGACAGAGATCGCTGAGTTGTAAAACAATGTACTGGTAACACCGTGAAGAGTATCGTCATTTCTTGGATAGTGTCGTTTTGCAGTAGTTTTGTATTAGGACTAATATAGTTCAGGATTTCTGAGCCAGATCTACGCTGGTTAGTGGATAAGATTATAGAGATATTTATCCTATATATAGAGTAATAGGTCCTTTTATTTTCGAAGTTTAAAATGGCAAAATTTGTTTATTTGAAAAGAAATGTTAATATGCATGAAAAGATTATGCGAGCAATAGTAATACTAAACGAAATTCTCAAAAACACCTTTATTTTATTATTAAGTAGGTGAAAATTTGTATAATACTTCTGAAACTATATACTATATAGGTTCCCTTTTAGCTGAAAACCGCATTCAAAACTCTTCGTTGAGTAAGAAATTGCAGTTATCACAATTTTCAGAACTTTATTTGCTCATTATTCAAAATCATAAATTTTGCTTTGTGTCACTGTCATTCTCAGTGTGCGGTATAATAAAACAAGAATGGTAGCTCCATAGAAACGAAAAAATTCGCATAATAACGAAAGGCGCGTGAGACGACCACTGCTATGCTACGCGAATGCATCGCGAGATTATGCGAATTTGCGCGTTCGTACACGGCTCGCTCACACATATAAACCACGCTGCTACATTTGTACGGAGTTATATATTTATACTTGCCTGATAGAAGAACATAAATTATTCACAGCGTTTTTCTTGTAGAGGATTCGGGGGACTTTAGCAATTATACTAGTATTTTTTTTATTACAAAAATATTAGCTACACGCCTTTTACAATATCACTAAGATCATCTAGCACAATCGATACGCACTCTGATGATATCCAAACCTCAGTACTGTATCTTACTTTCTAAAACACCTGTGCAGTTAATACGTTTCATTGGACCAAAGTTCAACCTTCAAATCGTTTCATACATCTACACTCTAAAAGAGACTACATAAGTATTACATTTGCGTAATTATTATGTTAAGGGTAAAAAATTACAGACAAAGTTTTACAATACACTCAGTACGCTAGTAACTAAGGTAGGAATACAAACGAAACGTCTAATTTACTGTAGGCTTATAATACAGTAATTTTCATACAATTTATAGACAATACTTATATTACAAATTTGCCTAAGAGAACATCGTAATAGACTTAGTTTAGTCCGTTTAGCATTAATAAAGTTAAGAGTGGCACTGTAAATTTAAATATTATTGATTGTGCAGTTCTTAAATATTTATATTAAAAATGTGAATTTTAAAATTCTAATCGCCGATAATTTATAATAAACACTCATCATTAAATACTCAATAGAGACACGAGATAGTTTAGATACAAAAATATTATAGAGAAATAAACACACCATGCTAAAAACTATGGTCCCTTGACAAGACACTCATTTAAAGTAACTGTAGATTTTTGAGAATTCAACCGAAATCCATCGGAATTCGTTATGGCGCCTATAGAGTCCGCTTTAAATCACTCGTCACTTCCTAGCTAGATAATGACGTAGACTTCGTATCACAAAACTTATAAATGTTCATAGAAGAAGTCCAGTGCAATATAGTGCTACAGTCTAGTCATCAGCTTTAGGACTTTGTGCGGGGCTAGGCCAGGGCGGCCTCATTTTTTCCAGCACATATTTGAGCTGGAAACTTGTATGAAAATGCTACAGATACTCATCTATCTGATCATAGTCCTCATCTGGGGGAGAAGGGCCTGAGACAGAAAGGATAGGCAATCCAAAGTGCTTCACCGTCTCGACACTGCCGCTATCATCAGACTTGGCTTCCTCATTAATAGTCTCTTCTCGTGGCGGCTTGGATTTGCAAAGGCGTTCTGATGACTCACTCATCGTTGTGAGGGGGATGTTGTCAGCAGACCTGAACAAACAAATACAATCAATAAAACTAGAGAACTCTGGGGCCCTACTGTGGATGACCTGCGGAACTACTCTCGAAGTCCGTCAACGAAAAAACAGGCCCGTTTGAAACTGTCAAATCCCGTTGTCATACATTCTTAATTCTAGCCGCGATCGAAACTCAAGTCTGTAAGTTTTCTATAGTGGGAAAACGGCCGTAACTACGGATTTCGTGCTTCGAGATTAGGGCCCCCTGTTTAGGAATGACAGTAAATTAACATGATGATCAATATTTCCAGCCTTGACATCGTAAACCTTAGAATTATGTAAATATGAGCGAGAGCTTGAGAATTATGTAAATAAGAAATATTAGAATGTAGAAAATTGTTTGAATAATTTGGTTTTTGACTTCGATTTAATTTAATATGAAGTTAATGTGTTACAGCTTGAAAGCTGTGAGAAACAAAATGGATGCTCGCGAATGACATTTTACAAGTAAAACTCTTACGCGATTGTAACAATGTGTCGACTTAATAGGAAAAGTAACAGAACGTATAGATTGTTGGAAAAGAAATTGTTTTTCGCATATAAATCGTGTATTTTTTTCTTTCAAATAAACTGCGAGTACCGTGACAACGGCACCTGTAGGTACAGGTACCCGAAACGTTGGCTTAGGAACTCGCCACATGTATTCACGCGGAATATCATTAAGCCGGTCAGAAAAAGCGTGTCGCTTCTATTCGGTTCGCTGACGCGATTTTCATCATGCCATTTTCGCTCTTATTTAAACAGACATAAAGATTTTTCCATCTGGCTTAATGCGAAACCGTGTCGATAAGTGTGGTGATTTCCTTATTTGAATAATTATAATTTTTTATAAAAAAACTGACCTCAAAAGTTTATGGAATTACATCTCTTTGCCAAGTTTTATTGAAATTGATTTACGAAAAGTGGGTCACATCCAATAAATCGGATTCATCCCTAATTTTCCACCCTTAGGGGTAGAGTATTTTCTTTAAATTAGACGACTATTGAGATACCCCCTTTCTTACAAAAAAAACATGGAAATCGGTTAAAAAGCGGCAGAGTAATCGCGTAACATACACACAAAAAATACAGTCGAATTGAAAACGTCCTCCTTTTAAAAATTGGTTAAGAAAGTTAGTGAAGTACGTTAAAGAAATATATGCATAAATTTATTAAATTCGGAAAAAAACAATTTCATTGCCAACAATCTACAAGTTCTATTAGTTTCCCTATTAAGCTGAGATAATGAGTAATATTGGATTTATTAAGCACAAGTTTAGCGGTATAAGCTGCAGTAAATAAATTTGTTTTATATTTTCCTTATAAGGTAAAACTATTCTCCATAACTATTTTATATCACTTGATTAACTTAACTTAATTATTATGAATAGAATATCTATGTATATCTAACATCGTGTACCTTTCGTGTATTCTAAGACTACGTTTACATAAAAATGTACTAATAATGTCGATTGCCACGAAGTTGTTGACAAGACGCTATAACTTCAGTGTCATTTTGTAGTGCTAGAAACTGGAGATGTTGTGCGAAAAAAAAAATATTTAAAATTAAAAACTGCGTAAGTCTAAACATTTTTATGTATTTGCTTACAACTTTTTAATGGTTTCAAATTTTGACAAAGACTAGTTTAAACATAATAATGTTTTGAAAACTGACTTTGTACCAAATCGCTCAAGAAAACTTATCTAGAGGCTAAACTGCAAACGTTTCTGGTCACTTGCAACGTATGGCGCTAATAGTAATTTTATTCTGAAATGGGTGCAGTGTGTAACAGTCCGCACGTAATTTTCACTATTTTTTATAATAGTTAATTGTTATAAAAAGTAAGACCAAAAACAAGACAAAAATATAAAAAATGTTAAATTACCAGAATGATACATAGGTGCCCAAGGTGTCAAGAAATTTATAGAGAGCCTATATGTACATATTATATACGTGAAGATTGGACTGAATGCTCTTCATACCATATGTGGTGTCATGAAGCTGGAACTGGATACGAGAAATTGTGAACTTTGCGAGAGAGATTTGTGCGACCGATAAACGAAATCCTATCAAAAAAGGGTTGCGTACTTTTGCCGATGCATATACGTACTCTACGTACATAGTACAGTGTAAGAGTACCCAACCCATTTTGCGGTATTTTATTAATTACAACTACATTATTAATTATAATTACTTTGCGCATCACTACGTAAGAGTCGGACTAGTAGACTACTAAATAAAACGATTCCTGATTATCTAACACTTTTTGTTTTCATTTTACACCGTCTCAAACCTTAAGTGCGTTTTTATGTGAAGTCATTCGGACCCAGACAATAGGCGTATGATCACGTAAACACTCAGTGTAAATTGTAATGAAAATATCGCATTCAAATATAGCGCTATAATTAATTATGTTCTATAGGACCATAGGGTATTCAGAAAACTATTTCAAATAATCCCAATTATATTTTTCGTACGAAACTGAGGGCATATTTGTATTTTAATGTATATTTTAGCGCTTATCCCATTGTACGAGCAGTTTGCTGGGGAGGCTAGAAGAGTTTATGAGGTTCACCGTACTATTTTCAGTAACATAATATTTTTGTGGATATTTTGTTTCCGGAAAAAAACTATAATGAATATTTTTTGTTTTTTTTTTATTCTTAAACTCAAAGATTGTGTTTCATCTTTAATTTGTAAATCTTGCTACACACTACTACAAAATTTGTACTCAATATAATTGCAGACGGATTCAAATAAATGTCATTGGAACTCACCTGGCCTTGCGACATAGTGTCGACTGTGAACCGTGTCGTCTCAGGAATTCGCCAGCGTCAAACCCAGGGAAGCCAGCTGGCTCAGCAGATACGAAAATGGCAGAATTGACGCGCGGTCGGTTACACCGTGCCAGTAGATGCTCTTCACACTCCAGACTCTGTGTGTGCGTGTGGGACCAACGCATGTGCTGTAAAAGAACAGTTTTATTTAAATCTTTTTGAAATCATTAGAAATCTTTGCTGTAATGCGAAGTATATTTTTTTTATTTAGCTTAAAAAAACAAAGACATTTCTATGAACTTCAACCACAGAGATATAGTTCAATTTTCTTTTTATACAGACGAGAAGTAAAGGCGCCTTCAAATTAGATGCTAATAGAAGCGCTGCAGTGTTAACAATGTGGTGCGGTGGTCCCGCCACTACTAATTTTCATACAATATTTAGAAGCGCTGTTGCAGCGCCACAATCGTGACACGTGCGTGTCAATAAAAATTACTGGCGCGAAAGCAGAAATTTTCTGCTTCGAGAACATTCATACCCGGCATTTCATGTATACGTATTGATGCATTACTAAAGGCGTCATTGTTGATTTCGTAAACTTACCAACAAGACCAATTTGTAAAACAATTTTAAAAACAAAAACAATAGAGCTCCTTGTGAAAGAGTCCGGAGAAGTACTGCCATCATGTAAGCATTACTGCTGTCCGGTTTCGAAGGGCAAGGGTGCTGGTGAAATTACAGGCACGTAGGACTTGTCAACTTGTCTCAGGGTAACGGACACAGTGGCAGTGCCCGTAAGTTCTTTGCCATTATAAGCTATGAGTGGCACGCAACTGTTATGGATAGGCGTGTCGCTTACCACCAGGCGCACGACTTGTTCGTTCCGACATTTGGTATTACAAAAGAAAAAGTTTTTTAATATTGGAAATTTAAATTTCAAAGGTAGAATTATAGCGTAATAAAATTATACCCCAGCTAAGAATACGATTATGAAATAAGTTAAAGACGAGACGACAAGGAAGTTATAATAGCATATGCTTGGCTTTAATTTTCATAATCTACGTTCGCTGGTGATATTATACAGGGGTAACCATTCAAGAATTTGCGATAATTTGACAGCTAGTATACATTATGCGTTAGGCGTTACTTTAAACTCGTGTTAGCAGTGTAAACACCGCGCGTTGACGTGCGCACTGGCTCAGTTTGAAAATGGACGTGATATTATAGATTTCATCAATAAATAGATCAGTATTAGAAATGATCGTTCTTTCAACCCACGTGCATCTAGCGCTGAAAGCGCACGATCAAAAATACAACAAAATGGCGGCGCACGTACCTCAATCTTGAAGCACGCAGTTGATGCTCGTATAACGTGTGTTCGAACTTAAATCTAACCACGCGAGTTTGCCGCGCGCTTGCGTGTGTATACCTAATCGGATCAAGCGTGTTCACAAAGAGCGCCCGTGTACTAGCTGTCACTGGTGATCAAACCTTATCAGTACTGTATTTGTGACGAAAATATAATTATTATTTAATGATCGAAGTTGTGACGTAAATAATAATTATATTTTTGTCACAACTTCGATCATTAAATTCTGAATCAAATTATGTCAATAACGACTGGCATCCTCATAATAAAGTGATGTAATGCGTAAAATAATTTTTAGGTAAGTGACGTAATAGATTTAAAAACAACAAATAATATTTTAATGTATAACGACTAGCGTTGCATATTCGGCTACTGTTATGTATTCGGCTTATACAACCTGGTTTTTGTTATTCGGCCGAACACCGAATATTGAATCACTATTCGGTTGAATATCTAAAAACAGGATGAGAAAACAAGAAAAAACACCGAAATTATCATTTATCTTTTATTATTGCTGAACACGTGCTTTCCCGTATGTCTGGTGCAACTCAGGTGACTATGGGAGAGTATCTTACGCCGATTGGTATATCCTTTTACCACGATGACAAACAGTATATTGCATATCATCGATACGATAAAAGAAAGAAACTGCTGCACATATACTGTAAGTTCATAAAAGCGCTTTTTGTCGCTATTTTATCTAAAACAAAAAGATCTCCAAAGTTCATGGAATTACATTTATTTCAAAAGTTTTATTGTAATCGGTTACCGGAAAGTGCACGAAACCGGATTCATCCCCTAGCTTGCCACCCTTAGGGGCAGAAAATTCCCTTCAAATTTAAATGAGACCAATACTGAAGTACCCTCTTTCCAACAAAAAATAATTATCCAAATCTGTTCACTAATCGTATCGCGTAGCATATATACAAAAATATCCTTTTTCTTTTAAGTCGGTTAAAAATGAAAAGAAATGTAACATAACCAACATATTTTTGTGACATATTATCAAATGAAAATTACTATGTAGTTTATTCATGACTAAATAAACGCTAACAAAATCAACGAAGTACTTATTACTTGCAAACAAAAATAAAAGCAAGTTGTTAAAAGTTAATCAAAGTGAAGAGAAATAAACAACCATTTTATTCATAAAGTCATTAATTTAAATTATAAAATTGAATATTAAAGTACCTTTTTTGTTAGTAAAGTTAATAAGTAGTATTTTTTGTGCTAATTTTCACGTTAATCAGGCCGAATAGTTTGGTCGATTATTGGGCTATTCGGTTACGCTCGCGCTCCTAGCCAGGCCGGATAATACTATTCATTGCAACAATGATAACTACATATTACTGTAATTTCGAACGTTATTTTTTAATATAAAATGTTAAATATTCCAAAATTTTATCTCCATTGTTATTGGTGGGATGTGCTGTTTTTTAAGTTTAATTAATACTTCAATGTTTAATAAATTAGTATTATTTATTAAATAAGTTATTTAATAAAGAAGGATCCTGTATAAATACTTCTGGATAAGGCGCAACAAATTCGGGACACGCGGAGTTAATTAACTGACTTCGCCTATATTTGAATAATCAATTTTGAAACTTTGTCAAAGTTTGTGCATACATTGCACTGTGCTGCTTTTCAAATCCAAGAAGTAGAATAATTAGAAAAAGTCTTCAAATGAATTTATTAAAAAAATATTTACATTTAGATACAAGAAATGTTGAAAAATGGAAATTAATGGAATTTATCTTTTATTTTCCCATAATTTAAATATCAATAAACAAGATATGTCCTTTGTATAAAGCCACACGTGAATGTAAGTCAAAAGGGCTTTTATCACACTAAAGTTATAAAAATAATACGAACCACATGAAGCTTTACAACTGGGCAATTTTCAGGTTTGATTGTCTATCTAATTTCGGTGACAATTTTTATTATTTGAGATTTGAAATATTAATAGTTATTTGTTTTTAACTTTCATAAGGCAGCCTTGCATAAGGCTGCAAAGTTATTGTTTGATACGAGCACTTGTATTGAAACCTGAGCAAGCGAAGGATTCTAAGATTGAAGCTGAATATAATCCTGAGCGTAGCATGCGAAACACGCAACTTTTGACCTCACTATAGCGAGGAAAACGTTAGATGAAAGAAAAACGACTGAACAAATTAGTTTTAATAAACAAAATTAGTTACCGTTGTCAATTTAATGTCAACAATACTAAGAATAAAATATACCAACGGATTTATATTACATAAATAATGATCGACAAATCGCGTAATTGAACGTGTCATTATGTTTTTTTTCATCGCATGAAAGTGCGCCACAGTCCATGGACAAGTTCGAATTTCAAAAATCTGTTCCACGCTAGCACGAAAAAAATTCTTTTGCGCGCAGATTTCTAATGAGAAAGAAAGCTAGTGAGGTGAAAATAATATTTCCGGATACTACTTTATATAATAATATTCTAGAATATTTGAATAATGAAAAATTGCCGCGGAAATCAGATAGAGAAAAAGTAATCTGAAAATTACCCAACTGCCCTATGCATAAAATAGTTATCGACTATTTTTCTTCATAGAATATTTAAATCTTTCACTTGAACAGTTGTCATTTTGCATATATAGCTTTATAACCAAGGGTGCAAATTTTCTTTTTCTATTTTGTAACGTAAAAAATGTTGATGTTAGTGACAAAAACCACGTACAAAACACGTTTCCGTGTTGTTTGCAAGATGGTACAGGAAGGCTCGAGTATAGCGTGACATTCGCAAGTCATCGTGAACATGCGATTGTGTGACAGCAACACATTCGCCCCACTCCAATAAGCGCCTCTACTTTTATAATTCTTTGAGTGAAGTGTTTTCTTTATATTTTTTTCCCTACCTGAATCTCTCTCATAGCAGTAATTGTGAAATATTTCGACCTGTCACGTAATCTGCAGTAAGCCAAAAAAATAGGTGCATTTGTTCATAAATCACTTTATTTCTACGTAAGTTTATTATACCAAGCAATAAAATGGCAAAGCATTAGAAATAATGAGTTTATATCAAATTTGATTGCAATACTTCAAGAATCGCAGGTAATATGCTAATTCTTGCTCATCCTTTTAATACATTAAAACGTTCTTCTGTAAAGTTGCGAATTTGAGCATACGATTCTTTACGTAAGAGCGATCGATTTATTTGCCAGTTTTCATTTGCGTTGAGTCCATTAAGAACATCATATCCTTGTCCAAAATATTTTGGCCCATAAAGCTTTGTGCACTCTTTAAAGTATATAATACATTTAATTCATTTAATTGAATAAAATGGTGTTTTTATCCGACTGCATCAGAAGGAGAGTCATACTTTGCGAGTATATATATGTTACGAATTTTTGTAAGAGTTTTTTCGATCTTTGCATCAATAGTAACTATATACACTTTTGCAACTTTCTTCTTGTTATCGTATTGATGCTTCTTTTATTTTTGGAATATAATCACTTTGAATAGTATGTTGCCATCTTGACTACGCTATCCGTGGTCGGTGGTAATCCTAATCATATTTAAGTGCTCCAGGACATGAAACAAGCTAGCAACATATTATTATCATATTGACAAGTTGAACTGAATATAATTTCTGCTGAGTTTTATGCGGTTTCTGTACACATTTTTAGCGTAGCTTTTTCGTAGATTGACGGCTTGCAATATCGTATTATGCCTCAAAATTATTGTTGAAATGAAAATCGTGTATAAGCTTTCAAAGTGTAGCTTAGTGAAACCTATATTATTCAGACAAATATAAATTTTAAGGGTTGCCTCACATTGCCGCCGCCG